CAAGAAGGTGAGCCATATGCCGCGGAGACATTTGAAAGAGAGAAGTCGCCGTCAGTTGCTGCAGCAGCAACAGCAGCAGCAGCAACAGCAGCAGCAGCAGCAGCATTCCGAGCTTACCATCAATACGTTGATAAGGTACTCCCCTTCTGCAGGCTCCTCTTGGGTCCCCTTCAGCTGCAGCTGCTGCTGCTGCTGCGCAGCTGCCTCGTCCTTGGTGGCGGAGGTGCTGCTGCTGCTGCTGCTGCTGCTGCCGCTGCTGCTGCTGCTGCTGCTGCTGGAAGGCTCCCTGCGCTTCTTCTTGCGGCGGAGTTCATGCGCTAGATCTTCTCCCCACTCTGCTGCACCTTCTTGCTGCTGTGGTTGCTGCTGCTGCTGCTGCTGCTGCTGCTGCTGCTGCTGGTCATGCTGCCGCGTAAGCCCCAGCGTTTGCGGCACCTCTGTCTTAACCTCTCCCTGCTGCTGCAGTTGCTGCTGTTGCTGCTGCTGTTGCTGCTGGTGCAGGTGCTGCTGGTGTTGTTGCCCCGCACCACCAGCAGCACCACTGCTGCTGCTGCTGCTGCTGCTGCTGCTGCTGCAGTGTTTGCGTTGCTGCACCCGGACGAGGTCTTGATAGGTGAGAGAGCTGGGGTGCGGCATGCGGCGGGCAAAAGCAGCAGCAGCAGCAGGCAGCACCGTCAGCAGGCTCCTCAGCTGCTCCAGCACCCTCTCTGCTGCTGCTCCCCCAACAGCAAAGCGCTCACACTGAAAGGTCCCCTGCTGCTGCTGCTGCTGCTGCTGCTGCTGCTGCTGCTGCTGCTGTTCGAGAGGCAGCAGCACAGGGATAGGGGGAAGCCCCAAAGACTTGAGGCTATCTCCTGCTGCTGCTGCTGCTGCTGCTGCTGCTGCTGTATAACATTCAGGAACAGCAACCCAGCATATATACACCAGCAGCAGCAGCAGCACATCCCGCGTCTCTGCATGCGTTGCAGCAACAGAAAACAGCAGCAGAAACAGCAAACGTTTGTTTACTCCTTTATTTAAATATAATACGCGGCTGATGCCGAGCAACCCACTGACGCTCAGGGGGGCCCCATCGATGGGGCCCCCAGCAGCACCATAGGGGCCCCCAAACCCTCGCAGGGGGCCCCCCCCTCGGTGGGGGCCCCCGGGGCCCCCCCCTGGCCCTGGGGGGCCCCCACCGCCTGGGGGGCCCCCACCACCGGGGCCCCCGCCGCCGGGGCCCCACGCGACGCCGTGGGGGCCCCCGGGGCCCCCTGCTGCTGCTGAAAGGAAACCAACCCAAAGGTCATCAGAAAGAGGAGCTCCGCCTGCTGCTGCTGCTGCTGCTGCTGCTGCTGCTCCATGGCCTGCAGCAGCAGAACCTGGGGGCCCCTCCCGCAGGAGGAGAGTAAGGAAATCAGGGGAGCCTTCTGCTGCTGCTGCAAGTGCTGCAGTGTATGCTGAGGGGCCCTGGGGGCCCCCCCTCCCCCTGCTGCTGCTGCTGCTGCTGCTGCTGCTGCTGCCCCTACCAAGCAAAGAAACAATGCTCGGTATGTGAGCAGCAAGATTAGAGAGAGAGGCGGGGGCCCGCAGCAGCCGCTCGCTCGGCAGCAGCAGCAGCTCGTCAGCGGGGCCCCCATATACATGGGGGCCCCTACCAGCAGCAGAGCCTGCTGCTGCTCCTGAAGCAGATCCTGCTGCTGCTGCTGCTGCGTTTCTTGCTGCTGCAGAGTTCTGTAACATGCCGCGTGCAGCAACGAGAGATGCTGCTGCGTCTCCTGCTGCAGCAGCAGCAGCAGCAGCTCTGCTGCCGTCAGCAGCATCATCCAGCAAAGCCTCACGAAGGCCCAGGCGGATGCTGCGCGGCAGCAGCGCGGAGGTTTGTACCCCGAGCAGTCTGCTGCCAGCTGCTGCTGCTGCTGCTGCTGCTGCTGCATGCGGGCCGAGGGCCCCCCATCGACCCTCGAGGCCCCCAAAGAGCGCCAGAGAAGCGTCAACAAAAGCAGCAGGAAGAGAACCTCCTGCTGCTGCTGCTGCTGCTGCTGCTGCTGCTGCAGCACGGCTGCTTCTGCTGGGTCTCTCGCCCCCTGAAGCAGCAACAACTCCACCGTGTCCTACAGCAGTATTGAGGTTTGCTGCAGCATGTGCTGCAGCAGCAGCAGCACGTTGCTGCTGCTGCTGCTGCTGCTGCTGCTGCCGCTGCTGCTGCCGCTGCATCGCCCGCTCCCGCAGCAACGCCGCCTCCACCTGCAGCTCACGCGGCAGAGCCTCAAGAACAGCAGCATCTGCTGTCAGCAGCACCTCTTGTCTTAGTGCTGGTTCTAGTGTTGCGAGGAAAGTAGCATTATCAAAGTCTGCTGCTGCTGCTGCTGCTGCTGCTGCTGAGTCTCCTGCTGCTGCTGCATCCCCGGAGCTGTCTCCGTCGCAGCAGCCAGCTACTGCTGCTCGACGAACTGCAGCAGGAAGAGCATTTAATAAATCAACAGGCAAATCACGCACACGAGGCCGCTGCTGCTCCTCTGCTGCTGCTGCTGCTGCTGCTGCTGGTGCTGCTGCTGCTGCTGCTGGGGCTGCTGGAGAAGCTGCATCCGCTGCGCCCGATTCGGGTGCTGCTGCTGCTGCTGCTGCAGGTGTTGCTGCTGCTGCTGGTGCTGCTGATGCTGCTTCTCCGCCGCCGCTTTCCCTCTGCTGCTGCTCTGCAGCGCTGGTGGTGTCTGCTGCAGCAGCAGCAGCAGCAGGTGCTGCTGTTGCTGCTGCTGCTTCTGTAGCTTGCTGTGAGCTGTCTGTTGCAGCAGCAGTTGCTGCAGCAGCATCTGCGTCTTGCGTGTTAGCTGCTGCTGCATCTGCTGGAGCAGCAGCAGCTGCATCAGGAGCCGCAGGAGCAGCAGCAGCAGCAGCAGCAGCAGCTGCTGCTGCTCTCCTTGTCTCTACCGCCTCTATCGTCAGCAGCCGCAGCTGCTGCTGCAGTATCTCTTGCCGCAGATCAGCAGGAAGAGCATCGAGGAAGGAGGGGTCCACTCCTGCTGCTTCTAGCAGCGCTGTCTCCGTCAGCCCCAGAGCGCATGCAAGCGAAGCAAGAGAAGGCTCACTGCTGCTGCTGCTGCTGCTGCTGCTGCTGCTGCTGCTGCTGCTGTCACTGCTGCTGCTGCTGCTGCTGCTGCTGCTGCTGCTGCTGCTGGTGGTTGTGGTGGTAGACACGTCGCCAGTGTCTACATCCATCGATTCGCCATCGCCTGCTGCTGCTCCTCCTGCTGCTGCTGCTGGTGCTGCTGCTGCTGCTGAATCCTCCGCAGCTGCTGCTGCTGGAGCTGCTGCTGCTGCCGGTGCTGCTGCTGCTGCTGCGGTGTTTTCAGGAGAGGCGGCAGCCGCACGCGGCGAGGCAGACGAATCGGTGGTACCCTGCTGCTGCTGCTGCTGCTGCTGTTGCTGCTGCTGCTGCTGCTGGCGAGTATCACGATCTCCTTCTGCTGCTGTTGCTGCTGCTGGTGTTGCTGCTGCTGCTGCTGCTGGTGTTTCTCTTTCTGCTGCTGTTGCTGCTACAGTCGGTGGATCTGTGGGGCGGTCCTCAACAATAGGCTCCGTAGGCTCGGGCTCTGCTGCTGCTGCTGCTGCTGCTGCTGGTGCTGCTGCTGCTGCTGCTGCTGCAGGGTCTGCCGCTGCTGGGTTTTCCGCTGCCATGTCTTCTGCAGTATCGGATGCCTCTTCTGCTGCTACTGCTGCTGCATCTGCTGCTGCTGTGTCTGCTGCAGCAGCTGCAGCAGGAGCAGCAGCCGGCAGCGGGGCGGGCTCAACCTCTATGCGGTGTATGGGGCGAGAGGAGAGGCGGTCAGTAACGAAAGCAGAGAGCATATGCTGCGCTGCTGTTGCTGCTGCTGCTGCTGTTGCTGCAGCAGCAGCAGCAACAGAGACAGCTGATCCAATATCCCCAACAGGTTGCTGTTGCTGCCGTCCTGTAGCAGCAGCTGCAGCAACAGCAGCAGCAGCAGCAGCTTCCTGAGCTCTGCTTTGTCTTAGCTGTTGAAGCTGCTGCTGCAGCAACGTTGGCTGCTGCCCCTGTCTTCGTGCTGCTGCTGCTGCTGCTGCTGCTGTTGCTGCTGGCCTGAATATACCCCCAGCTAGATCCTCAAAGAGAGAGTCCAGCAGCCGCTCGCCTATGTTTGCTGCTGTTCCTGCTGCAGCAACAACCCCACCCCCGGGGCTGCTGAAGAGGGCGAACGGGTTGCCGCTGCTGCTGCTGCTGCTGCTGCTGCTGCTGCTGCTGCTGCTGCTCAGCTGCATCATGCTGCCTGGTGCAGGCCGAGGGCACAGCAGAAACATAGGGTGTTCAGAGGGGGGCAGCACGTCAGCATCTGGGGGTGTTGAGGAGAGGAGTTCATCGCTGCTGCTGCTGCTGCTGCTGCTGCTGCTGCTGCTGTTTCCGGCTGGAACTCCCGCTGCTGTCGCCGCAGTTCCCGCTCCAGCTGCTGCTGCTCCTGCTGCTGCTGCTGCTGCTGCTGCTGCTGCTCCCCCCCCACCCAGCCGACGAGAGGGGCCCCCAGCACCGTACCCTGCTGCTATCGGGGTGATAGTGAGGCCCCTCTCCTCAGCCTCCTGCAGCACCGATCGCAGTGCTGCTGCTTCTTCTCTTCTCCCTAAACCACCAAAATCTATCTGCAGCCGAAAGGAGCTGCGGTGGTCCCGCTGCAGCGCGGAGCTTATAAGGCTCACAGACTCTGCTGCTGCTGCTGCTGCTGCTGCTGCTGTTGCTGCTGCTGCTCCACCTGCAACACCACCCTCCTCACCCACACCCAGATCTCCCTCTTCCTCTATCCCTAAACCCTCAGCAGCTAAACCCGCAAACGCCAGTCGGCCTTCACGCCCCCCCCTCATATTCCTGCTGCTGCTGCTGCTGCTGCTGCTGCTGCTGCTGGTGCTGCTGGGTCTGCTGCCAGCAGCGCGCTGCCCCCGTCGCTGTGTACCTGCTGCTGATCCACTGCCTTCAGAAGCAGCTGTAGATGCGGCAGGTGCTGCTGCTTCTGCTGCTGTTCCTGCTGCTGCACTGCTGCTGCTGGAAGGAGCAGAAGAAGAAGTTAACGCGGGCTGCTGCTGCTGCTGCTCCTGCTGCTGCTGCTGCTGCTGCTGTTGCTGCTGCTGCTCAGGGCCCTCCGCTGCTGCTGGTGCAGTCACAGCTAAGGCGGATGAGGCATCTGCTGCAGAACGCTGCTGCTGCTCCTGCTGCTGCTCCTGCTGCTGCTGCTGCTGCTGCTGCGTTGTGTCTGGCGGTCCATCGGCTTCCATCGGGGCCCCATCTGCTGCAGCAGCAGGTTCAGCAGTTGCTGCTGCAGTAGTTGCTGCTGCTGCTGTTGCTGCAGGTGCTGCTGCAGGTGGAGCAGTCGACTGTACGCTTGCTGTTTGGGGTGTTGCTGTTGTTGCTGTTGCAGCAGGCGTCTGCTGCTGTTGCTGCTGCTGCTGCTGCTGCTGTGGTGCTGCCGCTGCTGCTGCTGCTGCTGCTGCAGGCTGCTGCAGCACCGGCTCGTCAGCAGCAGCAACAACTGACTCACCCAGGAAGGGGTGGCTCAGCAGCGTGGGGGCCCCCACATCATCGAGGTCTGCTGCATCCATATCATCATCCTCGGGGCCCCCCAGGTAATCTATTTCTCCTCTCTCCTATACACAAACAAATAAAATAAAATAAAATAAAATAAAATAAAATAAAATAAAATAAAATAAAATAAAATATTAATTTATTGTGTTTTATACACGCACAAAGCAACAGCAACAGCAGCAGCAGCAGCAGCAGCAGCAGCAAAACAACAACAAAA